ACTTGAATGTGAATATTTGGGGCCGTCATCCTTAACCTTAGGTCACCATTTAGCTGTTGGTTGTCCTGGACCAAGAGAGTGACCAGTAACGGGACAATTGAGCTCGCATCTTATAAAAACATTCAGCAATGATGACAATAGCCATCATTTTATCATGACATGCTCCAATTATTGCAATTAACCATGCAAATAAAAAAGCATAATAATTTGATAAATGTTAGACAAATAGAAATAAAGACAGACTTCCAATATTGCTAAGCTGTAAATTCACCAATTTATTGATCCGAACCACAAGCACTGCATGAAAATTTACAATGAATAAATCATTTTGCTGTTGATGTGATTTCTTTATGGAAAAGTGAAGTCAGACGTTAAACTCTACAGGACAAACTACAAACAAATCATGGACACGCTAAGCAGGGTGAGTTACATAGTTACATAGTATTTGAGGTTGAATAAAGACACATGTCCATCAAGTCCAACCTATTGTGTGTGTGTGTGTGTGGGTGTAAAGATCCTCGCGTCATCTCGTTTTTAGTAGTACTTGTACCCCCGTATATTACCGTTTCTCAGGAAATCATCCAAAAGCTTCTTGAATGATTCCACACTATTAAACAGCAAAGTATTATGTTCATTTTTATGTAGTCTAGACACAAAGGAAGCAGCCATGAAAAATGCAGCCAGGGGATTTGCAACATTTCTTAAAGTAAAACTGAAGCTAAAACTTTTTATTTTATTTTTTTGGATAGAGTAGGGAAGAGTCATAACCCCTGTAAGCTTTTTTTTGTTATCTGTGTCCCATTGGGAATATTTCCCTTAACTTCCTGTGCAATAGCCACAACAGGAAGTGAAAGGAAATCCCTCCAAAGTGAGGAAAATCCCTGGTGGTGGATATGCATAAGACATGATAACATCAACAGCCCTTAGACAGCCGGAGTGAAGGGGAGAAGAGGCTGCGAGGACCGAACTAGCAGGCCGGAGGGAGTCTGCGAGGCCGAGGATCAGGTAAGTAAAACAGCTTTAAATATGTCCCCCTAAACAAAGCAAGCACTTTACCCTTGCAGTATGGGGGCAGTACTCACTGCAAGGGTATGTTTCTTGTTTGCCCAAAAATGGGCTTTAAAAAAAAAAATCACTTTACATTTTTACTTGCTTAAAAATCCTACCTTGCTTTCCCCTTCTCTGTAATGTTAAGGAGGGGGCTGTCTGCACTGTGCTGGCAGAAATTGTTACCAGCTGTAATCTAGAGAGGAAAGCTGTCCATCCTAACAAGGATGTTAACAGGATCTCAAGGTTTTGGTGATGCATTGTATGTTAATTAACTTTCGTTCAGTTTGTCAATCTAATTGCACTTAGAAATTGTTTAAAACAGGTTGCAAACTGCATATAAAGTGCTATGTATAACGCTGCTTCAAAGAAACAACTAGAAAAGCAAGATATATTAAAAACAAAAATCTGCTGTGTGACTAGGAACACAAAATAAACCTATCAAGGGAGTTTCTCAAATTGGACTGCAAAAGTGGAACTACATTTTAAGGGCTCATGCATATAGGCATACAATGCTCTGCGCTAAGAACCGTATTTGAATGCAGCAGTATTGTACTCTATAGGCCCATTCACATAGTTGTGCAAAGAGAATGGACGATATTTTACGCTGTAGACTTGTACATATTTGTGCTGACATTTACATGTGTACAGTGCAGATTTACTCTATTGAAGTGCTAGAACTGCCCAAGTCCTAGCATTGTTTGTACACTGTAGGCATGTAATGTTAGCATAAACATTACATGTGCATTGTGTATGTACAAGATTTTATCTGCCAACAAGATCCTGCATAAAATCATGCGCCCCGTGTACAAGGGCCCTATGGATATCAGCAAAGAGCATTTAAGGTAAGAGTAAATGCTGTAATAAGCAACATTTGAAACAACTAAAAAAAAAACATATTTTCTTAATGGATTAAATTGTACAAAGCTGGTACTGCAGACAAAGATATATATTCCAAAAGCCCTGAGATTTGGCTATACTTTAAACACATTTACAGATCTGAAGCACAGCACAGAAAAATGGTCTTCATGGCCTGTTTTTTGATTCCAGTAATAATGCTAAATAATGCTCTCTAGATCTGCCCAAAAATGTAATTTTCTCAACAATATTGTACCGGTCATTATGTATAATGAAATCAAATTGTGCACATATACACAGAACTAATATATGTTAAGAACTGGCTTTTGCTTAAACAAACAAAAAACAAGCAAAAAATAAAATAGCTGATATTTGTAGCTTTCTTTGGTTGTACTTTGCTCTTTATAGCGCTCCCACTGGAAAGACCTCAACGCCAAGATTCCTAGCTTTGCTCAACTTCTGCTGCTAAGCCAAATGATAATATATTTCCTGTAAATTCATTTTCTATCATTCCATGAGATTACTTTCCATAATGTACAGTAAAGTATTAACTGGACTCTCTAGCTTCCAGGGAGTGGAGCAGATCCTTGTAGAAGGGGCAGAGAGATGAACTACAGTATAATAACCTAAAATTTTCAAATAATGTTTAATTTTGTCCAACCAGTTCTGAGATTTACAAAATTTTGTCAGACAGCACAGCTAGGCTGTTGACCTCACTTTTCCCCACTGCAAGTAAGAAAAACAGCCTGGTCATCTTCCTGCCCCCAGCTTGTGATTGGACAATGAGGAGAGGATAATCTCTCCTCCTGTCAGCATGTTCCTTTTCAGCACATGTGCAGAGAGCAAATCCTGACTGACTCAATGCGCTGACCCTCTCTCTCCCAGTTATACAGTACAGAGTATTACTAAACGCTGATACCAAGGCCAATTCACCTCGCTCCGTTCTAAGCTTGCTGACTAGGATGTGCACTGTATAGCATGTGTGGCATGCAATGGACATGCAAAAAGCAGAATTGCTAGGAGCATGGTGCAAACATTTTTTGACTAAAGAGACTTTGCAACTTCTGAAACTGTTTCAGTCCATAAAATTTATTGGTGTTTCCCAGTTGATCAAAGTCATTATTGATAGGTTGCCTTTGTTCTTTCAGTCACTTTAGATGACAGTAGCAATTAAAAGCTGAATGAAAGTGGTTTAAATTGTCTGAAAATGACTTGTATGAATTACTACAAGCATGAAGGATGATTCTGGGCAAACTACATTTATTAAAAAATAAGTCAGAAATACTCTTTATATTTTATTTTGATTTATGGTTTGGCAGAAATGCAGCAAAAGAAAAAGACAACGATATCCACTTATGTGTGTATCCCAATCTGCTGGCTAGTAGATTAACAGCAGCCTCTACTGTGTCAGTCCTGCAAGATGATTTTGCTATGACAAAACTCAGTCTCAAAGTGACACTAAACTCAGGAGTTAAATCTTAAAAATACATTCAACGACCTCAACTATTAACAAAATGTATCATATTTGTGTATCACTCGGCTGTAGATCCTCCAATCATCTCTGAATTGGCGCTGACACTGTTCTTCCTTCTGGAGGGGGGCTACTTGTGTTCCCCATGGTCCCTGTGTGTGTTGTAAAGTAGTCACCGCTCCAAGCTCACTACCACTACAATCTCAATACAAATTAGTACACTAAACCTGAGATTGTGAATTCAGAGATGATTGGAGGCTCTACAGTCGAGTGATACAAAATAAGATACATTTTTGCTAACAGTTAAGATACTTGAATGCATTTTTTTAAATGTAACTTCTAAGTTTAGTGTCACTTTAAACATCCCCCCCCCCATCCTAGTTCTCACATGCTGCTGCGAATTTATTAATAGGTTGATTAACAGATTGTGGGCCAAGTTGATTTTCCCTGCTTTACCCACCTCTACATAAAAGGCAATTATTTACATAAAATGTCACTATTGTATTAAGCACATTCTCTTGTCATTAGGACCTCTAAGCTTGTTCAGGGCCATAGGATGGCGGCTAACACAAAATCACACAGTGTGTGATTTTGGGCAAAGCAAACACACCTAGAATTAAAACTAGTGCAATAAGTGATATGAATTGGGCTCAATGTTATGGAACCTGATCTTAAGTACATTTACTGATGTCTATCTCTATCTACTGAAGATTTCATTTAACATGTACAATGTTGCACATGTTATTTTAGTAAAGTCAAACTATTGGCCATACATTACAATCTGATTGTACAATCTCCTTTAGACTTACAAAAACTATGTAATGTGAAAGCCTATCTAAGCAATCCAATAAACTTGTATCCAGTCAGGCAGAACCGTGCACTATTTATTTGTTGGTGGATCTAAAGAAGATGGTAAAATAAGAATGTAACAGTTAATGTCTGCTTTACTAAATACAGCGGCCTGTTCAATCTCTTCTGTCTGTCTGTGCCGGAGGGGAAATAAATACCTGTTGTGTAATTCCACCCATCTTCAGCAGAAATGAGCCTAATGCTGGTAGATTATTTTAGTGAAGGTAAAATTGGAACCTGCATAGAAACTACTCTTTTTTAATTTGGCCAAGTTTGTAGAGTGCATGGCAAGATTTTACAACACACTTCCAGGCACATTATATAGGTATTACAAGTTATTTATACAGGTATTACAAGACCTTTCCTGAATACACAAAATAATAGATACGGTCAGAGAAATGTATCAAAACTGGAGCAGACAGAATCTGGAGCAGATGTCCAGGGCAACCAATCAGCTTCTTTCTTCAGTTTGCTCAGGTAAGATTTGAAAATAAAAGAGAGAAGCTGATTGGCTGCCATGGGCAGCTGCTCCAGTTTTGATAAATCCCCCCCATGCATCTTAAAAGTTACTTTAAAAAAAAAAAAAATCGTAGTGAATTGAAAATGTTGAATTTTATAGTCAGGCCATGAAAAAAACTCTTTCTTCTGTCACATACTAGGACAATTTACATTTCAACTTTTTATGTTTTATTGATTGTTTGATTACATGCTGGGCTTCGGATAACATGACGGACTGGAACCTCCAACAGGATAGCTTTACAATTTGTACAGCAGGAAGATAAAATCAGCAAAGTAGCAACAAAACGTCTCTCAGTTATGAGTGTATGAAATCTGAAAAAGGTATAGAATAAATAACAGCATTAGTATAAAATAATTAAAGGAGAAATATATATAGAGAGAGAGCGAGAGAGAGAGATATCGAGAGATAGATTTATATATATATATATTACTTAGCCGTGGTGAACAGCCATATTAATGTCACAAAGGAACAGAACTAAATACTACTTTACAAGAAACATATTCTAAAACAGTGGTTCTCAACCTGTTGGTGGCGACCCTTTCTAGTAAACCTTTCCGGGAGAAAATGTTTCTCTCCCGGGCGGCCGGATGCCGCTATCTATTAGCTATAACGGTAGCAAAATTACAGCGATGAAGAAGCAACGAAAATAATTTTACTGTTAGGGGTCACCACAACTTGGGCAATTTTATCAAAGGCACTAGAAAGGTTGAGAACCGCTGTCCTAGATTGTTCTCTTCTCCGGCCTTCTCCAAACTCTTCACCCTTTTGTGAATAGACCTGATAGTCTTGTTAAGATTTCCCCTCGCTTCCTGTTCAATCTGAGATCTTTCACTCAAACAAGAATTGAGTGGAAACCAACAATACAAGTCTGAAAGGTTTTCAAACCCTTTCCGTGCTATCCAAAACTGAAACTAAAAATATGTGGCTGGATTTGGGTTTTAATGGCTCATTGATAGGTAATAATCCATGCCCTTCTTACCTTGCAGAAATAATCTCCTACAAATGATTTTCTTGTACAAGACTAAACCAATCTTTTTATATGTTTTAAAGTCTTTAAAAGTAGCTCCATCAATCTAAAAAATAAAAGTACGCTTGTGTCTAAAAATGATGTTATTTAAAATCTGCTCTACAAAACACTTTGTTATGAATTTGGCTTTTTTATGCCAATTCTGAATGAGCCATCCCCAGTAATAATACATGTATTCAATGAAAGTTTGTATATTTTAAGTTCACTATTGTTTTTAGAAACGTCATGCAAAAAAACCCCAAAAACTTACGCTCAGTCTGTGGTCCGCGGAATGTCATTTGAGCTATAAAAAGAAAAAAAATAGTCAAAAACATGACTTACATCACATTTGATATTGGGAAGACAACAAAAGGCTTCTTAGTTACCTTTGCGACCTCTCATATAGACAACCACTCCGGCAATGATGAGTACGCTCCCCAGCACAAATCCCACAACTCCGGTTACCACCTTGTTTGTTGCCGAGTCTGACATCTGGGGTTCTATGAATAAATATGATGCAGTGATAAAGCACGAGCAACCAATTTCTACCAGCATTACAGTCATAATTCTCTGTCAGCCACTTCTGAGTTTGATGCTATTGCATCTGGTACAGCTCAAAGCCCAGCTCCAAGTTCAGTAAATCGAGGCCCAGTACCAGTAAATAAAAAAATGCAGATTTGCTGCAATACTCTCCCTCTTGCTGGTCGTGTTCTCCATATACATTGGGCTCAGATGTCTTCCAAATTGAATGATACCCGGCATAGCTGAAGCCACTTCCTGTGAGCCCTGGGGTGTCATGGAGCCACCCCTTAAGGGTGCATCATCATGTCATCCCGGGTTTTCAAGAGAATGATACAGAGAGAGGTGTAAAAGTCACGTGGGCGCTGTTCTCTGCAGCATTTCGGACTGACTACCACTGACACCGGACAGGAAGAAGAAGGACGTGTCATATAATGGCTGGAAGAAACCTGGATTTATGGTATGCATTCAGGGAACTTTTTAATATATGGAGTTTAAAGAGGGAGATTCAGGGGGGAAAGCAGGGGATGGGCTTTAAAGGAGAACTATGGGGTTTGTGTTTTTCCCCATAGTTATTATTATTATTATACAGGATTTATATAGCGCCAACAGTTTGCGCAGCACTTTACAATATAAGGAAGACATTACAATCGCAATACAATTCAAGACAAGATGGTACGGAGGGCCATAGTTCTCTTAAGGGTCACAGGAGGACATATACTAACCTCCGCCTGTGACCCAAAGCTATTGCCTGTGATATACTGTAAGCGCTGCAGCCGGGACGGATCCCGACAATTATGTCTGGATCCACCCAGCTGTGTGAGTGACAGCTGGCTCCGCCTATCTAGAGGCAGAGCCCGCTGTGCCCGCCCCCTCCCATTGGCTACTTATTAGTGCATGCTATATATGCATGCACAGACTTGAAGCTCCATTTACACATGCGCGATTGGAATTCAGCTGGATGTTTGGCGCGGTCGTATGCGTGGACAAAAACACGCAATTTTTAATAGGCGCATGTTTTTCCACGGATTTGCGGCCTCAACCACAATCAGAACATGTGAAAAACATGTACTTTTTGCCGCGTTCCACGTTCGTACGAACGTGCCGGTGTGAGCAAGTCCCATAAGAACGTATTGCTTTTTGTGATTTGCGTGGAAAAACGCTCAGGTGTGAACCGGGCCTAATGCTAGGTTCACACCAGATGCAGTGCGTTCCCGCCCAATTGTGGCCAGAAACGCACTGCATTGCTCACTTTTGTGTGGGGCAGGAGGGGGTGTGGCGAGCCATTGAAGTGAATGGCCCTCTGGCCGCAATGCGATCGGCCACACGGGATCGCAAGGCACATTATGTCTGCGGTTTGGTGCGATCAAAATGCTGCAAACACTATTTTGATCGCACCGGACCGCAGACATAATGTGCCTTGTGTCCCGTGCGGGCAATCGCATTGCGGCCAGAGGGCCATTCACTTCAATGGCTCGCCACACCCCCTCCTGCCCCACACAAAAGTGAGCAATGCAGTGCGTTTCTGGCCACAATTGGGCGGGAACGCACTGCATCTGGTGTGAACCTAGCATTAGGCCCGGTTCACACCTGAGCGTTTTTCCCCTCCTGCCCCACAAAAAAGTGAACCTAGCCTCAGTGCGCTCACCAAGTGATATTGTAGACATTTTAATAATCCTGTTAGCAATTAGACATGTGCGATTTGTTTTGGAATTTTTTTTGTTGTTATTCGGATGTATCCGAGTTTCTGAATCACAGAAATGACGAATGAAACCAAATTCGAATTTCCGCAAACTAAATTTCGGACGAAACGCGTTAGCGGTAGTTTGTACACATTTTCGTTTGTGGACGAATTTTCGATGCAGCAAAGTGACATTAAAAAAAAAATATATATATATTTTTTAATGTCACTGCAACGAAACGAATACGAAAAGAAAACGAACCTTCGTACAGACTACCGCTAACGAATTTCGTCCGAATCCCAAAATGAATCGATTTTCGGATGCGAATCCTGAAAAACGAAATAACGCAAAATCCGAAATGAAACAAATGTTTTGCCGGTGCACATGTCTATTAGCATTTACATTTCATCAAAACATTGTGACTCTTTAATACAAGTCTCACAACTCTGATTTCTGATCAGTTACTAAATATTTAAGCATCTGAGAAATATCCTGATGGGAAAAACCTTACAGTAACGTTATTGTAAAACTTATCAGTGGATGACAATGGAGCATACGTTGGAGTTGTCCTTTAACCTCCCCGGCGCTATGATTCTTCTGTTTTTCGTTTCTTTTTGGGGTCGATTTTTTTCGTTATTTTTTTTTCGTTTTCTTTTTTAATCTCCCGCCGGTTCCGTCCCCTTGTGACGCGTACGCTTGCAAGGTGACGGAACCCGGAAGACAGATGCCAGCACCGGCCGGAGAACACCGCGCGGCTCGAGGGACAAGGTAAGTAAATACTATGCGGTATTGCCAAGTGTAGCTCAGGGTATGGAGAAGTAACCCCGAGCTACACTCGGGAATACCGCCAAGGAGGTTAAGGGATAATGAAGAATGCTGACAATGGAGGATATAAGCAAGAATATAACTAGGGATGCACCGATACCGGTATTTCGGTATTGAGTACGAGTACCGATAATTCTTTTTCGGTACTCGCTGATACCAAATACCGAGTACCGGAAGTTCCATTCAGGAAGCCAGACGACGTGTAATGACTCGCCACCCGGCTTCCCGATTAGCAAGGAAGCTGTCCCCATGCTTCCCGTCACTATGTGACGAGAAAGCATGGAGCCAGCTTGCTGGCCAATCAGGAAGCCGGGCACCGTGTAATGACGCGCTGCCTGGCTTCCTGATACAGGAAGTATCAGGCTGGGCATCGGAGCATTTGGGCCAGTACGAGTACTCACCCAAATACTCGGTATCAGTGCACCCCTAAATATAACCCCCTTTCCATAGACTTACGCCAGTCTACTCTGATTGGTGCTCCCAGGCTGCTGTGATAGACCTCACAGCTGAAGTTATCTCCTTTCTTTATCTCCGTCTCCAGCATCACCAGGACCTGGAAGGTCCAATCTCCATTTTGGAAGATGTTTGTAGACTGAACCTGAGATTTTTCCTCCTGGCTATTCCGGTACCATTTGACGGCGATCTTCGATGGGTAGAAACCGTGCACATTGCACACCAGCATGTGATGCTCCGAATGGGAATCTTCATAGTCGGGCATTAGGGAAACCTTGACTGCTGGCTTCACTGCAACATAGAGAAACATAGTTACATGAGCAGAGCCACAACTAACATGTAGGAGAGCCGAAATAAGCTGAGGGTGTCCCAATACTGATACTGAGTTTCGGGGCCAATATCGGGTATTTTCACAAGTACCTGTACCCATTAAATGCCCCGATACTGAAGGCCGATACTGGACCTTTCTAAACAAGTTCAGCTGCTGCTGTGCTTGCTGGGGACCTCAGGCAGCTGTTTTTGACAGCGCCGGTCCGACCCACAACTCCTCCTCCTCGTCTGTGCCCGCAGAGGCTGGCACAGCCCTGGACAGCCCCACACTGCTATAGAGCCCTGGAGAGCCCAGCCCCCACCTGGAGAGCCCAGCACCCACCTGGAGAGCCCTGGAGAGCCCAGCACCCACCTGGAGAACCCAGCCCCCACCTGGAGAGCGCAGCCCCCATCTGGAGAGCCCTGGAGAGCCCATCCCCCACCTGGAGAGCCCAGCCCCACCTGGAGAGCCCAGCCCCCACCTAGAGAGCCCAGCACCCACCTGGAGAGCCCTGGAGAGCCCAGCCCCCACCTAGAGAGCCCAGCCCCCACCTAGAGAGCCCAGCCCCCACCTAGAGAGCCCAGCCCCCACCTAGAGAGCCCAGCCCCCACCTAGAGAGCCCAGCCCCCACCTAGAGAGCCCAGCCCCCACCTAGAGAGCCCAGCCCCCACCTAGAGAGCCCAGCCCCCACCTAGAGAGCCCAGCCCCCACCTAGAGAGCCCAGCCCCCACCTAGAGAGCCCAGCCCCCACCTAGAGAGCCCAGCCCCCACCTAGAGAGCCCAGCCCCCACCTAGAGAGCCCAGCCCCCACCTAGAGAGCCCAGCCCCCACCTAGAGAGCCCAGCCCCCACCTAGAGAGCCCAGCCCCCACCTAGAGAGCCCAGCCCCCACCTAGAGAGCCCAGCCCCCACCTAGAGAGCCCAGCCCCCACCTAGAGAGCCCAGCCCCCACCTAGAGAGCCCAGCCCCCACCTAGAGAGCCCAGCCCCCACCTAGAGAGCCCAGCCCCCACCTAGAGAGCCCAGCCCCCACCTAGAGAGCCCAGCCCCCACCTAGAGAGCCCAGCCCCCACCTAGAGAGCCCAGCCCCCACCTAGAGAGCCCAGCCCCCACCTAGAGAGCCCAGCCCCCACCTAGAGAGCCCAGCCCCCACCTAGAGAGCCCAGCCCCCACCTAGAGAGCCCAGCCCCCACCTAGAGAGCCCAGCCCCCACCTAGAGAGCCCAGCCCCCACCTAGAGAGCCCAGCCCCCACCTAGAGAGCCCAGCCCCCACCTAGAGAGCCCAGCCCCCACCTAGAGAGCCCAGCCCCCACCTAGAGAGCCCAGCCCCCACCTAGAGAGCCCAGCCCCCACCTAGAGAGCCCAGCCCCCACCTAGAGAGCCCAGCCCCCACCTAGAGAGCCCAGCCCCCACCTAGAGAGCCCAGCCCCCACCTAGAGAGCCCAGCCCCCACCTAGAGAGCCCAGCCCCCACCTAGAGAGCCCAGCCCCCACCTAGAGAGCCCAGCCCCCACCTAGAGAGCCCAGCCCCCACCTAGAGAGCCCAGCCCCCACCTAGAGAGCCCAGCCCCCACCTAGAGAGCCCAGCCCCCACCTAGAGAGCCCAGCCCCCACCTAGAGAGCCCAGCCCCCACCTAGAGAGCCCAGCCCCCACCTAGAGAGCCCAGCCCCCACCTAGAGAGCCCAGCCCCCACCTAGAGAGCCCAGCCCCCACCTAGAGAGCCCAGCCCCCACCTAGAGAGCCCAGCCCCCACCTAGAGAGCCCAGCCCCCACCTAGAGAGCCCAGCCCCCACCTAGAGAGCCCAGCCCCCACCTAGAGAGCCCAGCCCCCACCTAGAGAGCCCAGCCCCCACCTAGAGAGCCCAGCCCCCACCTAGAGAGCCCAGCCCCCACCTAGAGAGCCCAGCCCCCACCTAGAGAGCCCAGCCCCCACCTAGAGAGCCCAGCCCCCACCTAGAGAGCCCAGCCCCCACCTAGAGAGCCCAGCCCCCACCTAGAGAGCCCAGCCCCCACCTAGAGAGCCCAGCCCCCACCTAGAGAGCCCAGCCCCCACCTAGAGAGCCCAGCCCCCACCTAGAGAGCCCAGCCCCCACCTAGAGAGCCCAGCCCCCACCTAGAGAGCCCAGCCCCCACCTAGAGAGCCCAGCCCCCACCTAGAGAGCCCAGCCCCCACCTAGAGAGCCCAGCCCCCACCTAGAGAGCCCAGCCCCCACCTAGAGAGCCCAGCCCCCACCTAGAGAGCCCAGCCCCCACCTAGAGAGCCCAGCCCCCACCTAGAGAGCCCAGCCCCCACCTAGAGAGCCCAGCCCCCACCTAGAGAGCCCAGCCCCCACCTAGAGAGCCCAGCCCCCACCTAGAGAGCCCAGCCCCCACCTAGAGAGCCCAGCCCCCACCTAGAGAGCCCAGCCCCCACCTAGAGAGCCCAGCCCCCACCTAGAGAGCCCAGCCCCCACCTAGAGAGCCCAGCCCCCACCTAGAGAGCCCAGCCCCCACCTAGAGAGCCCAGCCCCCACCTAGAGAGCCCAGCCCCCACCTAGAGAGCCCAGCCCCCACCTAGAGAGCCCAGCCCCCACCTAGAGAGCCCAGCCCCCACCTAGAGAGCCCAGCCCCCACCTAGAGAGCCCAGCCCCCACCTAGAGAGCCCAGCCCCCACCTAGAGAGCCCAGCCCCCACCTAGAGAGCCCAGCCCCCACCTAGAGAGCCCAGCCCCCACCTAGAGAGCCCAGCCCCCACCTAGAGAGCCCAGCCCCCACCTAGAGAGCCCAGCCCCCACCTAGAGAGCCCAGCCCCCACCTAGAGAGCCCAGCCCCCACCTAGAGAGCCCAGCCCCCACCTAGAGAGCCCAGCCCCCACCTAGAGAGCCCAGCCCCCACCTAGAGAGCCCAGCCCCCACCTAGAGAGCCCAGCCCCCACCTAGAGAGCCCAGCCCCCACCTAGAGAGCCCAGCCCCCACCTAGAGAGCCCAGCCCCCACCTAGAGAGCCCAGCCCCCACCTAGAGAGCCCAGCCCCCACCTAGAGAGCCCAGCCCCCACCTAGAGAGCCCAGCCCCCACCTAGAGAGCCCAGCCCCCACCTAGAGAGCCCAGCCCCCACCTAGAGAGCCCAGCCCCCACCTAGAGAGCCCAGCCCCCACCTAGAGAGCCCAGCCCCCACCTAGAGAGCCCAGCCCCCACCTAGAGAGCCCAGCCCCCACCTAGAGAGCCCAGCCCCCACCTAGAGAGCCCAGCCCCCACCTAGAGAGCCCAGCCCCCACCTAGAGAGCCCAGCCCCCACCTAGAGAGCCCAGCCCCCACCTAGAGAGCCCAGCCCCCACCTAGAGAGCCCAGCCCCCACCTAGAGAGCCCAGCCCCCACCTAGAGAGCCCAGCCCCCACCTAGAGAGCCCAGCCCCCACCTAGAGAGCCCAGCCCCCACCTAGAGAGCCCAGCCCCCACCTAGAGAGCCCAGCCCCCACCTAGAGAGCCCAGCCCCCACCTAGAGAGCCCAGCCCCCACCTAGAGAGCCCAGCCCCCACCTAGAGAGCCCAGCCCCCACCTAGAGAGCCCAGCCCCCACCTAGAGAGCCCAGCCCCCACCTAGAGAGCCCAGCCCCCACCTAGAGAGCCCAGCCCCCACCTAGAGAGCCCAGCCCCCACCTAGAGAGCCCAGCCCCCACCTAGAGAGCCCAGCCCCCACCTAGAGAGCCCAGCCCCCACCTAGAGAGCCCAGCCCCCACCTAGAGAGCCCAGCCCCCACCTAGAGAGCCCAGCCCCCACCTAGAGAGCCCAGCCCCCACCTAGAGAGCCCAGCCCCCACCTAGAGAGCCCAGCCCCCACCTAGAGAGCCCAGCCCCCACCTAGAGAGCCCAGCCCCCACCTAGAGAGCCCAGCCCCCACCTAGAGAGCCCAGCCCCCACCTAGAGAGCCCAGCCCCCACCTAGAGAGCCCAGCCCCCACCTAGAGAGCCCAGCCCCCACCTGGAGAGCCCAGTCCCCACCTAGAGAGCCCAGAACCCACCTAGAGAGCCCAGCACCCACCTGGAGAGCCCAGCACCCACCTGGAGAGCCCAGCACCCACATGCAGCCCTGGCGAGCCCCAAACACAGCCCTATAAAATTGCTGTATGTTTATGGATTGAGTTACAGTTCTTCATTATTATAAAGAATCTCAAATCATCACTCTGTGTTGTTTTAGAAAAAATGTCACCTGTCCCTTGAAGAAAAGGTATCGGTAATTGGTATCGGCGAGTACCTGGGGAGAGTATTGGTATCAGGACATGCGTAGTGCCGGCACACCTGACCTGACACCTCATCCCTGTGCTGGATGATGCCGGAAGCAACAAGCTTCTCGTCACTTCTGGTGTCAGAGCCGCCCTTCCCCAGACACTGTGACCCCCAATGTCTCCTACAAGGGAACCTGTCACCGCTCATTGTTCCCTCACAATATATTTAATAAAGTTTTTAGCATAAAATACAATAAAAAAAAAGGTAAATGTAATAAATGCTGCGCAGAGAACCAATCGTAATACAGCAATCATTATACACTCTCCACCCCGACTCCAGTCCTCCCAGTATCATAGAGATGTATAGGAGTCTCACTCCTCCCGTCATAAACTGAACTCTCCACCCCGGCCCCAGTCCTCCCAGTATCATAGAGATGTATAGGAGTCTCACTCCTCCCGTCATAAACTGAACTCTCCACCCCGGCCCCAGTCCTCCCAGTATCATAGAGATGTATAGGAGTCTCACTCCTCCCGTCATAAACTGAACTCTCCACCCCGACTCCAGTCCTCCCAGTATCATAGAGATGTATAGGAGTCTCTCTCCTCCCGTCATAAACTGAACTCTCCCCCCCGTCTCCAGTCCTCCCAGTATCATAGAGATGTATAGGAGTCTCTCTCCTCCCGTCATAAACTGAACTCTCCCCCCCGTCTCCAGTCCTCCCAGTATCATAGAGATGTATAGGAGTCTCTCTCCTCCCGTCATAAACTGAACTCTCCCCCCCGTCTCCAGTCCTCCCAGTATCATAGAGATGTATAGGAGTCTCTCTCCTCCCGTCATAAACTGAACTCTCCCCCCCGTCTCCAGTCCTCCCAGTATCATAGAGATGTATAGGAGTCTCTCTCCTCCCGTCATAAACTGAACTCTCCCCCCCGTCTCCAGTCCTCCCAGTATCATAGAGATGTATAGGAGTCTCTCTCCTCCCGTCATAAACTGAACTCTCCCCCCCGTCTCCAGTCCTCCCAGTATCATAGAGATGTATAGGAGTCTCTCTCCTCCCGTCATAAACTGAACTCTCCCCCCCGTCTCCAGTCCTCCCAGTATCATAGAGATGTATAGGAGTCTCTCTCCTCCCGTCATAAACTGAACTCTCCCCCCCGTCTCCAGTCCTCCCAGTATCATAGAGATGTATAGGAGTCTCTCTCCTCCCGTCATAAACTGAACTCTCCCCCCCGTCTCCAGTCCTCCCAGTATCATAGAGATGTATAGGAGTCTCTCTCCTCCCGTCATAAACTGAACTCTCCCCCCCGTCTCCAGTCCTCCCAGTATCATAGAGATGTATAGGAGTCTCTCTCCTCCCGTCATAAACTGAACTCTCCCCCCCGTCTCCAGTCCTCCCAGTATCATAGAGATGTATAGGAGTCTCTCTCCTCCCGTCATAAACTGAACTCTCCCCCCCGTCTCCAGTCCTCCCAGTATCATAGAGATGTATAGGAGTCTCTCTCCTCCCGTCATAAACTGAACTCTCCCCCCCGTCTCCAGTCCTCCCAGTATCATAGAGATGTATAGGAGTCTCTCTCCTCCCGTCATAAACTGAACTCTCCCCCCCGTCTCCAGTCCTCCCAGTATCATAGAGATGTATAGGAGTCTCTCTCCTCCCGTCATAAACTGATAGAGATGTATAGGAGTCTCACTCCTCCCGTCATAAACTGAACTCTCCACCCTGACTCCAGTCCTCCCAGTATCATAGAGATGTATAGGAGTCTCACTCCTCCCGTCATAAACTGGACTCTCCCCCCCGACTCCAGTCCTCCCAGTATCATAGAGATGTATAGGAGTCTCACTCCTCCCGTCATAAACTGAACTCTCCACCCCGACTCCAGTATCATAGAGATGTATAGGAGTCTCACTCCTCCCGTCATAAACTGAACTCTCCACCCCGACTCCAGTCCTCCCAGTATCATAGAGATGTATAGGAGTCTCACTCCTCCCGTCATAAACTGAACTCTCCACCCCGACTCCAGTCCTCCCAGTATCATAGAGATGTATAGGAGTCTCACTCCTCCCGTCATAAACTGAACTCTCCACCCCGACTCCAGTCCTCCCAGTATCATAGAGATGTATAGGAGTCTCACTCCTCCCGTCATAAACTGAACTCTCCACCCCGACTCCAGTCCTCCCAGTATCATAGAGATGTATAGGAGTCTCACTCCTCCCGTCATAAACTGAACTCTCCACCCCGACTCCAGTCCTCCCAGTATCATAGAGATGTATAGGAGTCTCACTCCTCCCGTCATAAACTGAACTCTCCACCCCGACTCCAGTCCTCCCAGTATCATAGAGATGTATAGGAGTCTCACTCCTCCCGTCATAAACTGAACTCTCCACCCCGACTCCAGTCCTCCCAGTATCATAGAGATGTATAGGAGTCTCACTCCTCCCGTCATAAACTGAACTCTCCACCCCGACTCCAGTCCTCCCAGTATCATAGAGATGTATAGGAGTCTCACTCCTCCCGTCATAAACTGAACTCTCCACCCCGACTCCAGTCCTCCCAGTATCATAGAGATGTATAGGAGTCTCACTCCTCCCGTCATAAACTGAACTCTCCACCCCGACTCCAGTCCTCCCAGTATCATAGAGATGTATAGGAGTCTCACCTCTCCGGTCAGCAGTGACACTGTGTAGGACACCATAGTTGTGTACACAGAATGTCTGCACTGCGGCCCTTGTTTGTTCTATGAAATCCTTATCCTTGTTCCAGTATTCGGCGTCGGGTCTCCCGAACTCCGTCTTCGCTATGAAATCTCCGACATCGCTGTCAAAGTAGACGGACTCCTCCTGATTGTAGAAATATCTGTCAAGAAACTTCACCCTCTGAGTGCCGTTCCTGAAGTGACATTCAGACTTCATTTCAACAACATAATCGGCGGATCCTGTGAATGGAGATCAGAGATGCGGTTACATGATTGTGTCAGATATCCGTCTGTCTGTCTGTGTCCCCTCCCCCCCTCATCCCACCACACAGCCCAGATTAGTGGTTCTGTAGCAAGGCGGATGACCCCCCAACTCCCCTCCCCCGTCATCGCTGGACACAGCTAACCCCCAATGTGACCCCATAACAGCTCAGCCAGGAGAGGGGAGCTGTGTGCTCTTCTCAGCGATCACTAATCCTAACAAATCCCATCTACACCACCCTCTGCCCCTCCTATATACAGTACACACACAGATACATCCTAGGGGCGGGCCTTCAGTGCATACGTATAGGACACACGAAATAAGACAGGCTCTGGGGTGTCAGCTGGCTTCCTAAATCTGCCCACACACCTCTAGATTATCTGCAGATTTTCTGTGTTCAGATGGAAAAAGTGCCACAGATTGGCCCAGCGGGAGATTCCTCCATACACACAGTGCGGCGCAGATGGAGGAATCTGTGGCACCTTTTCCATCTGACCATAGAAAGTCTGCAGATAATCTATAGGGGTGTGGCCAGCTTTAGAGGTGCGGTCACATTTTCACCAGCACCATAGAAATGCATGACAATGATGCAGGACAGGCAGCATCCATCCTCCCTAAAATCCTTTACCTGGACGCTGCATGAGGGGATTTAATGCAGTTTGAAGTCCAGCCCCCTCCCCCATCTCTCCTAACTGGAACTCCGCACCTCCGTACAAGCTCTGCCTGGGAGAGAATGTGAAGAAGCCTGAGCTCTGCATTCCTAATCGAGCGATCACAGTTGCAATGCTTTCTAGGCTTGAATGCTCTGTTAGTATGTTAGCTGCAGTGCAGTGCGTTTTTGATGCGTTTGCGTATCCGGACCGTTTCCTGACCTGACAAAATGTCGTAAGCTGAACGGACTGCGCACGTGAGAACTGTAGCCCATAAAACACATAGGGATACATTGGGATGCATTTTGAGTGCAGGAGCGTACGGATCCGGTCAGCACAGAAAACAGACGTCGTGTGAACAGGCCCTCAGCAAAATGTGCAGCGGGCTTCCCCACTACACTAATAGCGCAACCTGTCAGAAGCTGGGTACATAGGGTTGCCACCTGTCCAGGATTCACCCGGACAGTCCGGGTTTTGAATGCTGTGTCCGGGTTTCATGGCAGCTGAAACCCGGACAAATGATGTCAGACAGACAGGGGCAACCAAAAATAAGAATTGGGCTAGGGCGCCCCCCCCCCCCC